CCAGTCACCATCCACCTGTGAGCACCTACAGCTCTTGGGAGACATCTGGATACAAAGCACAGTGGAGCCGGAACTCCACATAGTTTGTCTTGCTTTGATTAATTTATCCATTTCATGAAAGAAAGTTACTTGGTTTAGATATCTGTGGAAACGGGCATGCAAGGGTAGTGGGTGTCCTGAGGTACTTTCCCCTGGGTACCTACTGAGGGTCATATATACTTTTAGATTTGCAAGAAGCTCCATTTTCACAGTGTACTGAGTTACATTCCCAGGACTGCGCCTGGGTTCTTTCCACCCCAACCCAATGCTGCTTAGCATTTTGTTGACATTGGCAGAGGGAGCACAGTAGTTGTCCCCATGTTACCCATCCCAGGATTGGTACTGTCTCCTTTCACTTCACAACAACCACATAAGGTGGCCTTATTTTTTTAGAAATGCAGGTGAAGAACCTAAGATTTAAGATTATTTATTTCTACTTGATTTCAGATCTTATCCCAGGAACCTGGGACCAGATCCCAAGTTCTGAAAGCTAAATTCCTCAATTCACTTCAGGCCTTCTAGTTTCTTATTCTAACTGTTGTCTTGATAGTGAGGAAACACAAACTTTCAATTTAAAAAGGAAAACTAAATCAACAGTGGGCTGTCAATTTGGTAGGCTAAAGAAACTGAAAATTAACTCAAGCAAGATGAACCCTGGGTCAGAGTTCCACTGGGTGGATGCCATCCGACTCTCCCTGCTATGTAGATCCTCAATGAAAAGGGGAGACAATAAATATTCTATGTGTCAGTTAAACATTAAAAATTATAATTAGAGAAAATGTTCAATTAGTGATTCAATGGAGAAGAATAAGAAATTCCTGCCTGTCTCCATTTATGTAAATCTCATAATCACCTTGCCAGATTACAGCACCCCAAACATGAGTGCAGGTAAGGTGTGAAGCTGGGAGGAGAGCAGTGTGTGTTCTATGGAGCTCATGTTGACTTCAGATTCCTACCCTCGGGTTCTGTTAATCTACGCCCCTTCAAAGGGAACATTAAATTACATTCTGGATTGTCAAAGAAATAGAATGAGGTAGTGTACCTAAAATATAAAATTAATTACAGGTATTTAGTAAATTCTTAATAAATAATAGTCACAATTCTTTCTAGCAACTCAAAAATTGATATTTTTCAAGAAGAACTGGATAGTAGATTTATTAGGTAAAACTAAATGCATTTTTCTAACATAGAACTGGACAACAAAACAATCTCCAGCCTCCTGAAAGGCTTAATGATATTCTTTGCATAATTACAACATAATAGACATAAATGTATGCATTACAAGCTCAGGAAGTATGAAGTATCACTGGAAATTAAAGAAATATACATTAAACAAAAGAATTAGCATCTGTTTACATAAATACATGGGTTCATATTTTGTTTGATTTTGTGTTTCACTGCTGGGGTTTCAACCCAGGACTTTGTGTCTACTAAGCAAGTGGTCTGTCACTGAGCTGCATCCTCATTCAAATATTATTTTTATTGAGAGTCAGAATGTAGTGACCCATTTGAAAGTGATACAACCTTTTATCGCTGTTAAATAGGTATGTGAAAACCACAAGCTCCTTCCTGGAAAGCCACCAATCCTGCCGGCACAGCCTTTGGCAATAATCAATGGATCCAGAAAGACCTGGTAAGTCCTATGGAGCCAGGGTGAGCTATCTTGGCCAAGGCAATGGTCTTCCCTGGGAAAGATGCTCCACTGAACTCCTCTGTACTTGTAGCTGCCTACTGACCAGATTCAGAGCAAGCTATGTGTGCTCTCTGAGATTCAGTTCAACCTCCTATAAGAGGGAGATCATCACTAGCTCTCACAGGGGATTATTTATGGATATTAATTTGTAGAGAGTATATGAAGCATCAGGTATATCCAGGAACTATTTACTCCCTTCTGGTCATTCTCCCATTTCAAGTACAAAAATACCTTCTGATCTGCTTAATAGAAATAGTTTCTATCATGAGAAAATTTTAAAAAACAATAGAATATGTCTTCCCGGCAACAAAGGTTTACTTAACACATGTGGTTGTTATAATGGTGTTGTACTTTTTAACTAAAACTTAAATATTAAGTAATTGCTCAAATACAGTTCTGCAGATAAATTGCTAGGAAAGTAAAAATGCTAGTAAGAATCAGTCTTAATAATTATAATAGCATTCTCTAAATATAAATAAAGGGTTATCATAATTTTACATTCAAATAAGTACATAGGTATAGAGAGTCAATAAATGAGACAGAGAAGAGAAAAGCAAAATTACAAATCAAACACTGGTGTTCCGGATTAATTAATTGAATAAAAATATATAAACCTTGATTGAAATATTGGTGAATTAATTCTAAAAGTAATGACAGTGTTAAGAAAAACTTTCTTGAGGAACAACTGAGTGAATGCCATTGCGTCTCATAATTCATTAGAATGAATTTCTTTCAGCAGACTAGGAAGCTCTGTGTTTTCCTCCCGTTTATAGATAGGACACTTGGTCTGACCAAGTTACATAGGTATTCAACAGGAAGCCCATATGAGAACATGTATGATTGCAAACAAGGGCACTCACTAAGCATCCAAGTGCAGACAGTCAGAGGCCTACAAATGTTCTCAGAACAGGAGAGGGAGGAGCAGGGACACAGCCTCAGATCGAGGGCCATGGTGCCTGGGGGGGGGTGTCTTCCTGTGTGTGTGCATGTGTGTGCAGAGCTGTGTGTGTGTGCACCCGTGTCTGTGTGTGCAGTGCTGGACGGTGCAGGACTCAGGAGTCAGGTGATTGGATACACCTGGTTTTCCACTCATCTCTTCTGCCTGTCCTAATTTTTCACTGAGATGCATTGAACACCTACAGGACTTTCCGCTTCCTCAAGACTACTGGAAAAAAACCCCCAGAATTTCTCTTCTGTTAGTAAAAGAATATGTATATAAAATATGTAGCATGGCTCTGGTTTTCCTTAAAGAGATTTGGATTAAAGGTTTAAGAAAACCAGGAGAAACCCTGAACAAAAGGAAACTTTTTAAAGATTTTTTTCCTTTGATATTGGAGATGGAATCTGGGACTCAGGCATGCCCGGCAAGTGACCTTCCACCTACCTGTATCCCTCCAGTGCTGCTAGGTGTTGTCTCTGTCTGCAGTGTGAACTTGGATGTCCAAATATCTCTAGGCACTGATGGGCTTCTGAGTTGGTTGGAATCTTGGTTTCTTCAGGATGAATTTACTTTGCATGTGCGAAAACAGCCCTCCTCAAGGATCCAATGCCCAGAGAACAGCGCTGTGACTCCTGATTATCTTCCTAGAATGCTATAGAAACAGAACACACCTGTCCCAAACATGCTGAGTGCTTCTCATGAGGCTCTGCAGACACCCACATCATTCCTCAGGCTTTAACCATTTCCCAAGCTTTTGTCCCTCTCCCCGACATCCATTCAGCTTAGTACTGAGCCTTGATCCTCTCCTAAAGCCTGCAAGGCTTCTGCTCCCAAGATGGCTTCTTTGGCTGCTATCCTTCCCCCTTCTGGTGCCTCTCTAAGCTTGCACTCTCTGGATGGCTGCTTTCTCACCTTAATTCATTGTCCAGCACCCTGTTGCCAGATTCTGTCTGCATTGTACTTAGTGAAGTCCCCTCTGTGTGGAACCCGCTGATGTGCCCATCTGGAGCAGTCTCTTCCTGCTTCCTCCGGCAGAGCAGGGCCATTGTGAGTCACACAATGTGAAGCTGCTAGGAGAGGGCTCCCCCAGTTCTAGCCTTGCACAATACATTAACTGATAAAACTATATCAAAAGGGATGCTTTCAGGAAGGTCTTCATGTTAAAGTTCAATAACATCATGACTGAGGTTCTACAGAGGAGCAGTGTGTCCCTTTCTCAGTGTATTAGCGGAGGTTTCCTCAGAGAGCTTCCTACTCTGTGGCCCTTGCTGTCAGTCAGTATTGTGAGGTTAACAGTGGTAACTGCTCAGAGTATTCAATTACTGTTATGCATTTGTACATTGATATGTGTGTGTTAATGAGGGAATATCTTTCCTGAGCTTTGCAGAGTTAAACAGTTGATGGAAAAGTTAAGTTGAGAAAAAAGCTGAAGACAAGAAGGTTTTCCGAGCTTAGTGAATCTCCAAATACATAACTAAGAAACAATCCCAGTTACACCTCACAACAGCACCCTGTAACACACTGAATTTCTCATAACCTTGGACTGTTTGTTTGTAGTACATTTCAAATTATTTATTGAAGTACAAATATTTTTATCTTTTGAGCCAACTAGTGGACACCCTCTACTGAAAACATCACTAATAAATTCAGTTAGAAGAAACCCATTCAGAAAAGTAACACTGGAGCTGGAAGAGAGAAATTGGAACCGAGAGGCCCTGAGTATCATCCCCCAGGCCTGGTGTGTGAGGAGGGTGCCAGTGCTCTGCTACTAAACACAACCATCCACCAAACGTGGAAGAGAAAGTGGAAAAGGAGCCTGGCAAATAAGGCCATGTTCATACCACAGCTCTTGCATTAGGGCGGGTGATCCAGGGACATTTAGATGGAAGGTAGAAATAATCAGGGGAGTATTCCTCAGATTTTGCTTTTGTTCACTCCCAGGAAAACAGTCCAATGACAAAGTCAGAGTCACAGAAAAATCTCTAAAACATTGGTGAATTTATAACTGGATGAGCAAATTATGTTTGTATCTCTATTAACTTTGGGCATTATATAAATTATCTTGATGTTTAATGTTTCGGTAGATTTAATTTCTGTGGACTGATATTCATGGCATTACAAAGGACAATTCAAAGTATTTGTGTGTCCAAAAAATAGGGCCCATAAGATTTGTAGTCAACAGGTGTATAAGCTAAACATTGCTAATAGCACCATGCTTCTTGGGCTTCTACACAGAACATCTATCTCCCCACCCTCCCCGGTGGATTCAGGCATGGCTCTCTCCTGTGCTGATCCTCTGTCACTGAAGAATTCCTAAAGTCACATTGTCTACACCAGCGTCCATAAATCCAGGAGTCGCCTCAGGACCACCAGGACCTCCTTGTTCCTCAGGCTGTAGATGAATGGGTTCACAAGGGGTTTGACGATGATGTAAAACACTGCCACCACCTTATCGTGGGCAGGGTCATGCAAGGAGTGAGGCCACATGTAGGGGGAGAGAGTGGTTACGTAGAAGAGGCTGGCCACAATCAGGTGGGAGGAACATGTGCAAAAAAGTTTGCTCTGTCCTGTGCCTGAGCCCATCTGTAATACTGTCCCGGCCCGCGGGTAAGTCAACGGAGACCCTAGAGTGGGAGTGAGAATGAAAAGGGACAAGAGACATGAGAGATGGAGACAAGACAGGTTTCTGATCAAGTCTCGTTTATTGCGGAAGCTGCTACAGCATATATACCATAGGGCTAGAGGGGAGGAGCAAGGGGAGGGTACTGGGGCTACTTCCTTTTTGCCGGGTAGACTTGCGGCAGGCCCAGATATGCCCGTAAAAGGCACTCAAGAGTTCTAGCGGGGGGGGGCAAGGCCCCCCACATAATACAACAGTGAGCACCAAGCATAGGCAGCAGCAGAATAATAAGTCCACTCAAGAGGATGCCATATTCATACTGGGAGGTGTCCTGACATACCAATGGAAGTAGAGAAGAAACTTTACAGAAAAAGTTGTTAATGACCCTAGACCCACAGAAAGGAAGCTGGAAAACATACAATGTATATATTAAGGAGTTGACAGCACTGCTGGACCAGGCACATATGACCAGGGAGCAGCAGATCTTCTTGCTCATGAGTACTTGATAATGCAAAGGATGGCAGACGGCTATGTAACAATCATATGACATGAAGCCCAAGAGAATGGCTTCAGATCTGCCAAGGCTCAGGAACACAAATATCTGAATCTCACAGCCCCAGAATGCAATGGGCTTGGTATTTGTCAGGAAGTTGGTTGGCATCTTGAGCACAGTGGTGGAGCTGTACATCATGTCTATGAGGGAGAGCTGGCTGAGCAGGAAGTGCATGGGTGTATGCAGTCTGCCATCCAGTGAGATGAGGTGGGCCAGGATGACATTCCCCAGCACAGCCACCAAGAAGAGGATGGCAATGGTGGCAAAGATAAAGGCATTCATCCTGCCACATTGGAAAAAACTGAAAAGCATAAAATCTGTCCCAGAACTTTGGTTTCTTGTTTTCATGGCTTAAATAGAAATATCAAAGCAGACAATATATGAAACATCCTTAGAAAAATGTAACTGCCTTTTAGAAGAATAAAAGGACAATAGTGGGCTGGGGATTTGGCTCAGTGGTTTCACTGCCAGCTGCTTAAGTGCAAGGACCTGAGTTCGATCCCCAGTACCAAAAAAAAAAAGGATAATAGTTAAATATGACTGCTATTTCTGGAATAACTTTTTGTGAAAATATCACTTTCTCCTATTAGGTACAGTAAACCTTCCTATATTGAAATACAGTAATTTTTAGCTTTTTTTGTTTTTTACTGGTGATAGACATGCAATAGCTGTAGATATTAATGGGGTACCTGAAATGTTTCGACTCATGTGTATGTGTACAAATTAAAAGGAAAATTAGCACTTCCCTCTCATTGCCATTTTTTTAACCATAGGAAACTTACTTTTTTTCTAACTTTTGGATCTTTCAACTTCTCTCTTTAAATCTTCATAAATTGCAAATGGCAAAGTGAAAATAAAGATATTGACTGAATGCAGGATGAAAATATTAAATAATTTTGTAAGCATTTTGATGATTTCTTGGCAAAAATTATATTCTAAATTTGTATATATTTTAGGATGCTAGATTAAATCTTTGTTCACTAATGAAAATATTCTGCTCAGTTCTTTCCTATAAGTGATACTTTGTCAAGAAAATCTTGCTGCATAATGGTATAATTTTTAATAAATCTTTAATTAATCTTTATTTTACTTTTATTTGTTAGAAATAGGAATAAGAGCAACAGTAATATTTATTTGAAAGTAATATTGTAGCCCTTATGAAATATAAGTTGATATGTATTAATTTAAAAAAATAGATAAAACTTCACAAGTTAGGCCAAAAATGTTGACCAAAATAAAGGCAATCAACTGAATCATCCAAATTTAATTTAACATTTATGAGTCTTTGACTGAAGTCGGCTAGAAAGAGTATTTAATTCAAAGGTAAAAATTTAATTTTTTGTCTTTGTTTCTGACACAAATTTGGGCTTTTATACATTTTTCAGAGTAAATAATGTCTTCTTATTTACAGGTCTTATGTTCTAAAAATATATAGTTAAGTCCTCTGAAACATTATTATATGCTCTTGGGATTTCCTGGGTCTCAACTACAGAAACAGCACCTTGATAATTTGTCAATTTCAAAAGACTAGTTATTGATTTAGGCTTAAAACCTTCATTCATTTAAAATACTTAAATCTGAAAATTTTGCTTAAAATATTCAATAGTTCAATTATGTATGTTTTCTTACAAATTATGCTCATTCTTTTTGTAGTAGTCTAAAATACTTTTACATTACTAACAAGAAACAAGCAATAAAAGAATTATTTAATATTATAAAAATAATTCAATTCTAAAACTATTTGCAATAACTAATATACCATGTCACTAACTATATAAAATAAACATCACCAAGTAGTAGTTCTTAGTGAAAATCCATGAAAATTCAATCTAAATTTCAAGATTGTATTTCCTCCATCGATACAATTATGTTAATAAGAATTGGAGGCATTAGTAAATCTTTAAGCCAAAGAAGGAAGTCTGGCTGGGGCAGTGCTAGGAGCTCAGGCAGAGCCTAGGGAAAGGCAATGTGCCCAGGCATCAACAGGAGCAGCGCAGCCAGCAAAACACACTCAAAATGACAACAGAAGGGAGCTGGTGGTCCTCTACCATAAACACTCTCCCCTCCCCGCCTCCTCCCCTCCGTGCCTCATGCCTGCCCATCCTGGCCCCAGAGGCCGCCTGGACTGCTATGTAACCGCGAGGGTGCAGGCAGAAGGGGACTGGGGAGAAGAGGTTGGCCCTGGGAGCCTCTAGGGGCTGAGTTGGCCATCACTAGTGCAGTCTTCTCCTCTCAGCCATCGCTCACACGCGCCTTCCTGGGGTCTCCTTGGCCCTAGTGTCCTTCGCCTCCTCTTGTGCCCAGCAGCTGCAGTTCCCGGGGCGACCATTGTGAGGATGGAGGAGCTTTGGGAGATGGACTGAAGCATGCACAAAAGGCTGATGAACCGGGATGAGAAGGGCAGCGGTGCAAGTGGCAGTGGCAGCCAGGGCGTGCTGGGGCTGCTGAGTGGCTGCCAAGTGCCTGCTGCTCCACTGCAGACCTTTCCTGGCTCACAGCTCGAGCTATATCCGAGGTTCTGTCAAAGTGTGCTGCAGCACCATCATGCGGTGGCGGGCCAAGGGCTCTGTGAGCCTGGAGCAGATTCTGCTGGCCTAGGAGGAGGTGTGTGCCCATATGCGCTCCCGCCTTTACTTGGCAGTTATCCTCTATGAGGAGCACAGCCCGAGCTCCCAGAGCCTTTGCTAAGACAGCACCATGTCACTGGTGGTGCAGGCACTGTGCCGCAATGCGGAGCGCACAGACATCTGCCTGCTCAAAGGTGGCTATGAGAGGTTTTCCTCCGAGTACCCAGAATTATGTTTTAAAACCAAGGCCCTGGCGGCCATCCCACCTCCTATCCCCCCCAGTGCCACAGAGCCTTTGGACCTGGGCTACAGCTCCTGTGGGACTCCCCTGCAGGACCAGGGAGGTCCTGTCAAGATCCTCCCCTTCCTCTTCCTCGGCAGTGCTTATCATGCTGCCCGCAGAGACATGCTGGATGCCCTGGGGATCATGGCCATGTTGAATGTCTCCTCGGACTGCCCAAACCACTTTGAAGGACACTACCAGTACAAGTGCATCCCCGTGGAAGACAACTACAAGGCTGACATCAGCTCCTGGTTCATGGAAGCCATTGAGTACATCGATGCAGTGAAGGATTGCCATGGGTGGGTGCTGGTGCACTGCCAGGTGGGCATCTCTCTCTCGGCCACCATCTGCCTCGCCTACCTGATGATGAAGAAGCAGGTGAGGCTGGAGGAGGCCTTTGAGTTCCTTAAGCAGCGCTGGAGCATCATCTCTCCCAGCTTCAGCTTCATGGGGCAGCTGCTGCAGTTTGAGTCCCAGGTGCTGGCCACGTCCTGTGCCGCGGAGGCTGCCAGCCCTTCCAGCCCCCTTCAGGAATGGGGCAAAGCCACCCCCATACCTACCTCACAGTTCGTCTTCAGCTTCCCAGTGTCTGTGGTTGTGCACTCAGCCCCCAGCAGCCTGCTGTACCTGCACAGCCCCATCACCACCTCCCCCAGCTGTTAGAGCCAGTCACAGAGCCCCAGAATGCAGAGTTGGCCTCCAGCCAGGGCTGGGTGAGCCACAGGTGTGGGAAGCAGATAGGGACTGACCAGCTGGGGGTAGCTGACTAAGCCCTCTCCCCATCCATTTCTCCTTGGCCAACCAACCATGGGGCCAGCTAGAATGGCAATAAGGGCTTTGAACACACACTAAAAGCAAACAAACAAAACACTCCAACTTAGAGCAATAACAGCTGCGTTAGCAGCCAGGGAAGACCTTGGATTGGCTTATGTGTCAGTTTTACTTTTCAGGGAGAAATTTCTTACCTCATTTTTTTAAGCAGAAAGGCTTGAAGTTCTGAAACCCACAGACCCTGGCAAGCATACCCAACCAGTTTATTATGGGGGAGGGAGGAAGGGGAAGGGAGAAAAAGAAAATGAGTTTGCCAGAAGTGCGTGGTTCTGTCTGCTTGTCCTTCTGTTGTAGTCATGGGAATTTTGTTTTTTTAAAAGAAACCTAGAATACAGTTTTCATTGCTAATTATTCACCAACAGGTGAGTAATTATGCTTAATAATAACTAAAAATCTTTATTGTGAATTTCCTCAGAGTATGTAAGTACAAGGAGCCTAGTGACAGTGAATTTAGAATATACTTATGTTGATGTCAAATACCAGAGAACAAGAACATGAAGGGGTCTAAGGAGTGAGGGATAAATGGTGTTGTGTAGGTCTGTGGTAGTCTGCATGGTCACTGTCCATTTGGTGCCACTGAGCAGCAGGCAGGTTGGGGTGGGAGAGGAAAGGAAGGAGAGGACTACTTTTTAGTTATTTTTGTGGCTGGTTCCTGGACACATGGACCATAACCATAGAACTTTTTCTCTCCAATAATCCTTTTGATGGTTGGAGCATTTTTCTCATAGATCTTCCTAGGGTTCGTTTGTGGTCTGTGGTAAATGCCATATTAGATATAAGGTGCTCCTGGAAAATTGGGGTGCACTTCAGATTTTCCGATAGCAAAATCGGGGTGCACTTCAGATTTTCCGATAGCAAAATCATTTGTCAAGGCTATGGGGGAAACCAGATCACCAGCAATACCTGAAATGAATCCTTTTGTAAGTTGAAATACTATCTTTTACATTAATCAAAGTTTTTAATTAAAGAGGTTTATTTGAAATGAAGTATACCAACAAATTCTTGTGTTACTAAATACTAGTTTGGTGAATTTTTAAAAGGCTCTTCCTCTTTTGAATAAAGAGGAGAGTGGATGCCACATTTCAGGTCTCCTTGAAGTTTAGAAGGACAAGAGAGCCCTTTCACGGTGGGGCAGGGGAGACTCCAAGGCTAGTTGCTGGCTCCTGAGAAGTGCATCATGGGTACTTGGACACCATTTTGAATCCTTAGTTGGGCTAATGGGATTTTAAGGGGCCTTTCCAAATGAAGGAATGGAGGAATGGCTTTAGAGGGAAAAGGACATTTTTCTGGGGGGAGGGTTTGAGGCAGGGGCAGAAGCTATTTGTTACTTCATTTGCAGTACTGTGGAACAGTGTTGTTATGGATTAAAGGTCATCGCAAACTTGTCTAGAAATGAGAGCATTTTTTAAAGCCCCTTGAGAGTCTAGCTCTCAAGAATGGGTGAACATTCTTGCTCACCCATAAGTAACTTCAAGCCTCAATGTCAAAATTGTGTGGAAATGTTCTTTTTCATTGGGCATTGCAGAGACTTCTGGGTTCATTACATTTCTTTCTGTGAACCTGTGTCAACATCATTCTTCCTGCCTGCCTGAAACCCTTCCTTGGGGAGAGGCCAGAGTTCCCACTTCCTGTTTTTAGAAAAAACAGAGGTGTCCTGTTTCTCTGGGAGCTGCTTGGCTGAAGAGTTGATAAGGAAGCCAGAA